CCCCCATCCAACCCCCCATCCTTCCTGACTGCCCCCCTGGGACCTCTGCCCTATCCAGCCACCCCTTCTCCCTGACCGCTCCCGGACTCCCTGCCCCAACTTCCCCCCGCCCCTAACTGCCCCCCACCGCCCCATCCAACACCCCCTCTCCTTCCTGACTGCCCCCCCACCCCTGACTGCCTCCTGTAGCCCCATCCAACCCCTCCTCTCCTTCCTGACTGACCCCCCGGGACCCCCTGCCCCATCCAACCACCCCTTCTCCTTGACCATCCCCGGAACCCCAGCCTCCATTCAACCCTCCTCTTCCCCGCCCTCTGACTGCCCCATCCACATCCCCAGCCCCTGACCACCCCCTGAACTCCCCTGCCCTCTATCCAACCCCCCTCCCCCACACCCTGCCCCCTTACCGCGCTGCCTGGAGCACCGGTGGCTGGCGGCGCGGCTGCACCATGACAGGCAGCTGCGCCGTCCGGCTGGAGCCAGCTATACACCGCGCAGCACAGAGCATCGGATCAGGTGGACCCTGCAGCTGCGCTGGCCCAGGAGCTCGCTGCCCAGAGCATTGCACCGGTGGCGCAGTGAGCTGAGGCCGCGGGGGAGGAGGAAAAGCAGGGGAGGGGCCTGGGGCTAGCCTACTGGGCCAGGAGCTCAGGGGCCGGGGAGAACGGTCCCGTGGGCCAGATGTGGCCCGCGGGCCGTCGTTTCCCCACCTCTGTCCTAAACTAATGGGAAAAAAAGCATTTAAAAAGTTATATTATCATTCAGTTGAGAACTAATTGTTTTTAAAGCTGACTTCTTGAAAACAGTTTACATGCGATGGGCACAGCTGACAAGGTAATTTTAAAACACAGGGGACCACTAATGGGCTTAAAGTCATTGTGGGGGAAAACTTCTTACCTATGATACTAATGCAACACTGAATAATGAACTTCACCATCTCTATTGTCTACCTTTTCATTTCACTCATTTTAAAATAAATTAGCAGTGTGACAATTTCTAGTCAAGTTCACTGTGCTTTTACATAAGATACAATGCTTAGGTTGCAAATAGTGCAGGGAAATGTATAAGTACAAACAAAAACCTTTTAACAGATTTTATTTTAATATTATGAAATTGAACATAAAATTCATAATAAGTTATGCAAAAGCCCTCCTTCTATTTTTTTGATCTTGAACACTACTTAAATTTGTACCTAAACTATGTAAGTGCTCCTTTAACTTGTTCAGATAGCCAATATTTCCAGTTAACTAAAGCAAATTAATAGATTTTCAGAATCAGTACACTATTCTTAACATAGATATACTTAAGACAAACAGAATATTCTCATATTACAATAATCGGATTTTGAAAAGGACTTTAAAAAAAACATTGTGCTAGTACTGTATGTCATGTTTGACAATAAACATACCTCTCTCACTTTAGGATGCACTGGAGAACTCCTAGGAAGATGAATTCCATGATGCATGAAATCCTGAATGCAATTATGCTCAAGAATCTAAAGTAAAAATGCATTACAAACTACAGTTAACATACAAGATTATAGGCAGCACAGGTAGTGATTTACTTAAGGTTGCTTGATACTTTAAGTTTTCATACTCTGTTTTCAGATGGTTATAGCTAAGCCCCTCTGTTTTCAGTTTTAACTGATTTTTACAGAAAAAATCCCGAGTTTTACAAAACTATTTATTCATTTTTTCCCCCAATTTTCACCCTACTTTTGTATCATTCAGATACCTAAAAAATAACTTGTTTTATTAGGAAAATACAATATATTGCATGCGATATATGTATTACAATAATACATTGGTCTGTGTGTATATGCAAAGCTGCCTGCTGATGTAAGGGTATATTAGACTAGAAGATGCACACAAATAAATAAGCAAACATGCAAATTTGAAGTACATGAGCATCTGAATATACTGATGAATCTCACACCCACCACGTGCACATTTCAAGCCATTAGCAGATAACTAGGGCTATCAAGTGATTAAAAAATTAATCGAGATTAATCGCATTGTTAAAAAATAATAGAATACCATTTATTTAAATATACTGGATGTTTTCTACATTTTCAAATATATTGATTTCAATTACAACACAGAATACAAAGTGTACAGTGCTCATTTTATATTTTTTTTATTACAAATATTTGCACTGTAAAAACAAAAGAAATAGTATTTTTCAATTCACCTAATACAAGTACTGTAGTGCAATCTTTTTATCATGAAAGTTGAACTTACAAATGTAGAATTATGTACAAAAAAACCTGCATTCAAAAATAAAACAATGTAAATCTTTAGAGCCTACAAGTCCTATCAGTCCTGATTTCTTGTTCAGCCAATCGCTCAGACAAACAAGATAATGCTGCCTGCTTCTTGTTTACAATGTCACCTGAAAGTTAGAACAGGCCTTTGCATGGCACTGTTCTAGCTGGCGTCGCAAGTTATTTACATGCCAGATGCACTAAAGATTCATATGTCCCTTCATGCTTCAACCACCATTCCAGAGGACATGCGTCCATTCTGATGATGGGTTCTGATCGATAACAATCCAAAGCAGTGCGGACCGACGCATGTTTATTGTCATCATCTGCGTCAGATACCACCAACAGAAGGTTGAATTTCTTTTTTGGTGGTTTGGGTTCTGTAGTTTCTGCATCAGAGTGCTGCTCTTGTACGACTTCTGAAAGCAAGTTCCACACCTCACCCCTCTCAGATTTTGGAAGGCACTTCAGATTCTTAAATCTTGGGTTGGGTGCTGCAGCTATCTTTAGAAATCTCACATTGGTACCTTCTTTGCATTTTGTCAAATTTCCAGTGAAAGTGTTACTAAAACAAACAACATGTGCTGGGTCATCATCCGAGACTGCTATAACATGAAATATATGGCAGAATGCAGGTAAAGCAGAGCAGGAGACATACAATTCTCCCTCAAGAAGTTCAATCACAAATTTAATTAACACTTTTTTTTTTTTTTTTTAAATGAGCGTCATCAGCATGGAAGTATGTCCTCTGGAACAATGGCCGAAGCATGAAGAGGCATATGAATCTTTAGCACATCTGGCACATAAATATTTTATGATGCCAGCTACAACAGTGCCATGCGAATGCCTGTTCTCACTTTCAGGTGACATTGTAATTAAGAAGCGTGCAGCATTATCTCCCGTAAATGTAAACAAACTTGTTTTTCTTAGCGATTGGCTGAATAAGAAGTAGGACTGAGTGGACTTGTAGGCTCTAAGTTTTATATTGTTTTGTTGAGTGCAGTTATATAACAGAAAAAAAATACATTTTTAAGTTGCACTTTCATGATAAAGATATTGCACTGCAGTACATGTATGAGCACTGTACACTTTGTATTCTGTCTTGTAATTGAAATAGATATATTTGAAAATGTAGAAAAACATCCAAAAATATTTAATAAATTTCAACTGGTCTTGTTTAAGAGTGCGATTAATCGCGATTAATTTTTTTTAGTTAATCTCTTAAATTAACTGCAATTAATCCACAACCCTACAGATAACAGTTTAAAGATCTGACACTAAAATAGGAAGAAAACGAACATCTGTATCAGAACATGTTTCAGAAGACAAGAAAGTATTCAAAAGTTTTTAAAAAAACAAAAAACAGGAGAAAAGGATGAAATTGAATGTATGTGCAGCAAATGGTGTGGCCCAAGTATTAACTGTCAATATTTAAAGGCTAATAGTTCTAAGTCTACAACAGTAAACTATTCAAATGAAAAGTTTTATTTGGGGATTAGAGATGTATTGTTTTCTTAAACTCAGAGGTGGCATTGTTTTGAGTTGTTTTAGTTCTTCAGCAAGCCACATTGACTTCCATTCATCAAAGCATTAATCTACTGCACGGGTTCCCAAACTTCATTGCACCACGACCCCCTTCTGACAACAAAAATTACTACACAACCCCCTGAGGGGGGACCCAAATAAGGCATCAGATCTAGAGGCCAAAACTGAAAGGAGAAATGTTGTATAAAAGGTGTGTATAGAGCTATACAACTGTCAAAAAGAAAAAATAATTCTGAACCTTTTAACTGGATCAATTTCAAAGAATCTTTAGATGAACTAATCTTAATAGCAAGTTCAAATCAGAGTATGTACCTCTAAAATCTCTCCTGAAGCCTTCTTCCAAGCCCTGAAATAAATTTCTGCAACATATGCCATCAGAGATCTGTGTTAACAAATTAAGAGAGAAGAAATATCAAACTTTATACCATCTTTACAGTAAATATTTTATAAAAAGTTAATGTTTGTCGGTGTTGAGTGGCAATGGGTATTGAGGGTATTACACATTCTCTTTCAGCACTGTTTTTAATACCAGCAAAAACTTGAAATCTATTTTAGTAATTAATACACCAACAGAAGAATATAAAGTTTACTCAGTTACAGATTTCAAAGGAAACCTCCATTAAAATTTTATACATTTTAAAGAGAAAACCAAGCACCCACTGAATATTATTGTAGATATTATATATTACCTCATCTTTCAAAGAAAGATAAGGGTATGTTTCCAAAGCAATGCAGTTTTTAATGTTTACATTCCAATATATGCAGTATTGTGCAGTCTCCTTTGGCAGCATACATGCCTTAATCTTATATTAATGAAATAAGAACTACAACCAAAAGAGCTAAGCATAATAGTATTTGTACAATTCAGAAGCGAGAGAACTGACGTATTTATATAAAATAAAATACTTGCACTGAGTCTCAAGTGCTTTAAATTATTTAAAAAGCAAATCTGAAAAAGACAACAGTTCTAAATCAGAAGCATTATGCAAATTATTTTAACTTAAAAAGAATAACTTGGTATCTTTACTGAACAATTTGGCAATTAATCTCTGCAAATCTCTGAAAAAATCTCTTTAAACTGGTACCATATAACAGTAAAATGCTACATAATTAGTAATTTATCATCAAACCAGATGAATTCTTCCAATTAGGCAAATACAATACTGTCCCTATCCAGAGGACCTGTGCTAGTTTTTGATATTCTGCAATATATTTAATTGTAGTAATCCAATCAGGACTGGTGCCCCATTGTGTTAGACAACATATAAATATACAAAGACAGAGGGTTGTCTTCATGGCTAGTTAGTACATGGCAAGATAGGGTGTGCATGTACAGCATGCTAGCCTGCAATGTACTAAACTGACTGTGCAGACCTACTATCCTGCACTAAAAAATTCCTTACTGCACATGTAGCATGCTGTACTTTCACACCCCAGCATGCCATGCACTACCTAGCCAGGGATACAAGCCATGGGTCAACCTTTTTGTGGATATAACTACATTTATATTATAAGGGGAAAAGTAAAATTTAAAACCAAAACAGGTACAAATAAGCCTGTGTGTTTTTGTAATTTGTTTAAAAATATAAAGAGACAACATGAAAGCATCTGGTTCAAAATATTTAGTTTGGCTGACATAAACATCCATATATTTTGAGATTCCGTGGCGTTTTGGCCATTCGGCTCCCATTCACTCTGAGAATTGTACATAGCTAAACCACCTGTTGCTACTGATTGATATAGTTAGGTTCACAATATGTTTAATACAACATTAGTTGATTAGTTTGTAAAAACATATGAGAGTTCTTGGGTTTTTAGTCAGCTAAAAAAGAAAAAATATCAATACTAAAAAAAAAAAAAAAAATACATTCTTCATCGACAGAGTCTACAAGCTGGACAGCTGCAGGGAAGTTTGTTGGGCTGCAACCTTGGAACGCACATCCCAGAACTTCCTTCGCTGGCTATAGCCCAGCAGACAGATTTGAAAAGCTATAGCCATGGAAGGAAGCTCTAGGACGTGCCAAGCCCAGATCCACAGACAGGGCAGGGCACAGCCTGGAGAGCAGAGAGGTACCGTGCAGTCATGTGGCCCCCAGTACCGCCACTCCCCATGGAAAGTCCTGCTTTCCAGGCTGCAGTTCCTCCTTCCTGCAGCTGCCAGGCCCACAGCTTCTCCTCCCGGCTACAGGCAAGGGCTGCAGCCATGGAACATGTCAAAAAGTGGCATGACTGTTGCCAATATTTGAATCCTATTAACATTAAAGTCAATGGAACAGGACTGGTTCCTGAAAAAAGGATGCCATTAGCCAGAAGTTATTATCAGTATTGCTATTAAGCAGCATCCACTGTATAGATAAGATAAAGACACAGAATTATTGAAGCAATATGGAAGTTACTCGTTATATTTGTAGAATCTGATCTTTTCATTCAGGTGTATTTCATCCATAAGCTAGATGTTCCATCTTTGAAAACTGAAAGCAAAGTGTGGCCAGCATTCATAATGGCAATCACTGTAACTGTGATACATACTTTGAAAAACACTGCAACTGGTTTTTAATAGTCCCATGGATCATTTTAATGAAGTTTACATTCCAGCTCAACAGAAAGCTAAGGAATCTTCTTCCCTGTTAAGGAAAAAAATGGAAATAAGCCCAAATCAGGAATCAATTTAAGATCCATTTCAAGTTGTTAACTGAGAAAAAACAGTTACTAGCCTTCCATAACTGTTGTTCTTTGAAATGTGTTCCTCATGTCCATTCCAATGTAGGTATGTGCTCACCCCAAGTACCACCACTGAAAAGTTTTTCCCAGTGTTGTCTGTCGGGTCGGCTCTACCCCCTGGAGTTGTGCTCTCACACCGGTGGTATATAGGGCCCCACCACCCCCTCAGTTCCTTCTTGCCAGCTAACTCTGACAGAGGTGCAGACGAGGGAGTTTTGGAATGGACATGAGCAACACTCTCAAAGAACAATTACAGAAAGTTAGTAACCATTTTTTCTTCAAGTGTTTGCTCACGTCCATTCCAATGTAAGCGACTCCTAAGCAGTCGAGCAGGTGGAGGGTTCGAAGTTCATTGACACACTAACAGCTTGGCCGAAACTCACATTATCTCTAGTTTGCTAGGTGATGGCATAATGGGACGCGAAAGTGTGGACTGACGACCGTGTTGCCACTCTACAGGTGTCCTGAATCAGAACTTGTGCCATGATGCCACCGCCGATACTTGAGCTCTTGTAGAATGGGCTGTCAGAGGAGGAGCTGGGACCTTCACTAGGTCATAGCATGTGCGGATACAGGAAGTGATCCATGATGAAATTTTCTGGGCTGAGAATGGACGGCATTTCCTTCTGTCTACAACGGCTACAAAACTTTATATCTATGGATGCGACTATCTGCAGATATAAAGCGGAAATCCGAGGAGCTGCAGGTCTCTACTGGGAACGGCAGCGGTGAAGGCAGCCGCACATCTGGCTGCTGCTCACAGAAGCCAGTGGCCCATGCGGGCAGTTCCTCTGGTATGGCTGTACCGCCCCCAGCTCTGCCCACTGTGGAGGACACCAGGCTCAGCAGCTGTCCCTGGGTCACACTAGTCCAGGAGTGTAACTCTTGGGGAAATTCTGCACAACTGCACACCAGAAAAATGCCCCCCCCCCCCCCCCCCCCCCCGTTTGCTTCCTTGCAGAAAACGGTTTCTGTGGGGAAGCAAAGAGAAGCTGCACCAGTACTCACTCACCTCTCCACAGCAGCTCAGATGAGTCTGTTCGGGCAGCTGGGGGGGGAAGACAAATTACTGAGGGGAGGGGGGGTCTAGAGATGCCCTGTCCACCCAGGAACGTGAGTCCCAGCTGGAAGGGGAGGGAAGAGGAGAGACAGAGTTCCCCCTCCACCGTTCACAGAGCAGCCGGGGCTGAGTCAGATCAAGCCCCAAAAACTTGCCCTGGCTGCAGCACCTGGGGTGGGGGGGGGTGGGGGGGAAGAGGAGAAGAGGATGTCTTGGTTCGGAGGAGGGGTCCGGGTGTGGCAGGAGGGGTTGGGTGGATAGGGGGAGCTGTTTCCTGTACAGTGACCCCTCCCCCCACCCGCCCCCCCACCCCCCCCCCCACCAAGCCCCCCCCCCCCCCCCCCCCCCCAGGCCCTCACCACCTTCTCCTGGAATCCCCTGCAGAGTCCCATTTTCCCTGCACACAACCCCACACCAAGCCCCTGTGCATCCAAATTTCCCCCTGCACCCAGACCCTCCCCGCCCCCGGGAGCTGTCCACACCCAGATTGCGCCACACAGAACCCTGGTACTCTTGAGGGAATTCTGCACCAAAAAAATTCTGCAAAGTTCTGCATATTTTATTTGTCAAAACACCACAATATAATCACACCTTTTTCAATTATTTTGGTAATTTATTTCAAAATACTTGTCAGCACATAATTGAAAATGGTGTGATTATATTATTTTGACAAATAAAATATGCAGAGTTTTAAAATATTGTGCGCAGAATATTTAATTTTTTGGCACAGAATTCCCTCAGGAGTAGAGCGTGCAAACCGAATAGCCACTTTATATCCATGGATATAAATTTGGTATCTGCACAGGGCTCAATGGATTTCCAAAAGGGTTTAGTCCTTTCTACATAAAGAGCAAGTGTACGCCTAACATCCAGCGAGTGGAGTCTCTGGTTCCTCCCTTTTAGCATGTGGCTTGGATAGAAGACTGGAAGGAAGATATCCTGGTTACTATGGAATTGTGAGACCACCTTTGGCAAGAAGGCCGCGTGTGGCCACAGCTGAACCTTGTCCTGGAAGATGACCGCGTATGGTGGTTCTGAAGTAAGAGCTCTGATCTCTGAGACGCCTTCTGGCAGAAGTAATGGCGACCAGGAGGGCCACAGTCCAGTACAGGTAGAGCAGAGAGCACGTTGCCAATGGTTCAAATGGGGGGGCCTGTTAGCCTTGCCAGCACCAAGTTGAGGTACCAGGAAGGGAGTGGCTGGCGTACCTGGGGCTATAGCTGCTCCACCCCCTTAAGAAAACAATCACAGATCAAGTTTGAAAAGATTGACCGGTCATTCACCCACGAGTGAAAGGTCAAGATTGCAACTAGATGGACACTAATAGAGGATACTGTTAGGTATAGCTGTCATCAAGATAAGGTAGACCTGAACCCCTTGTCTCCTTAGGAAGGCTGCGGCGACTGCCATGCACTTTGTGAACACCCAAGGGGCCGCTAACAGGCTGAATGGGAGCACCATAAATTGGTAGTGCATGTGGTTCACAACGAATCATAGGAACCTTCTGTGTCCCCAAAAAAATGCAATATGAAAATACGCGTCCTTCAAGTCAACGGCAGCATACCAGTCCCCTGGATCCAGAGAAGGGATAATGGAGGCTAAGGAGACCATGCGGAACTTCAGTTTCTTCATGAATCTGTTGAGGTTTCGCAGGTCCAAGATCAGTCTGAGATCACCATTGGCCTTCAGGATTAGGAAGTAGAGGGAATAGAGACCCCAGCCCCTTAACTCTGGTGGAACCTCTTCCATTGCTCCCACCCTTAGGAGCAACTGCACCTCCTGGGCCAAAAGTTTCTCGTGAGAAGGATCCCTGAAGAGGGATGGGGAGGGAGGGAAGGAGGGGAACAACTGAATTGAAGGATGTATCCCAGTTCTATTGTGTATAGCACCGAGCAATCTGAGGTAATGTAGGCTCACGCCCAATAGAAGTGAGATAACCTGTCTACAAATATAGGGGAATTTGGATCCACGCATTGTCCTGGTACGTCATTCCATCAAAAGGCCTGCTTAGACCCTGCTGATTGTCTTGTGGGGGGAGGTACTGTGGCAGATGAGGACTGGGACAGAGGCCTTCTCTTACAGCCTTTACTCCTTCTCCTGCTGTAGTCCTGCCTCTGTTGTGGCAGGAAGAAGCAGGGCCATTGGTTGGGGCTTACAATGCTTCTTGGCAAAAGCTAGTGTATGTAATCCCATGGATTTCAGGGTGGCTCTAGAGTCTTTCAGTCTATGCAGCTTCAAGTCTGTCTGGTCCAAAAAAGAGCAACTTGGCTTCAAACAGAAGGTCCTGCACAGTCTGCTTCAACTCATAGGGCAAATCCGAGGACTGAAGCCATGAGCTTCTTATGACCATAGCCAAAGCCATGGATTGGGCTGCTGAGTCTGTCATGTCCAAAGCTGCCTGAAGAGACGCCCTAGCCACTGATTTCCCCTCTTCAGCTACAGCTGAGAACTTGCCCCTGGACTCGTGTGGCAAAAGCTTTTTGAATTTAGCCATTGCGCTCCAGGAGTTGAAATCATACCAGCTCAGGAGTGCTTGCTGGTTTGCGATCATGAGCTAGAGGCCGTCAGTTGAGTACACCTTCCCGCCAAAAAGGTCTAGTTTTTTAGCATCTTTGGCCTTGGGAGTCAGCCCTTGCTGACCTTGACACTCCTGCTCATTTGCTACTGAAACAACCAACAAGCCCAGTAGTGGGGGGGGGGGGAGGAGAGAAGAGGGGCGTACAGAAATTTATGTCCCTTTGGAGGGACAAAGTACTTCTTCTCCATCCTCTTCACAGTGGGTTGGAGGGATGCAGGGGTCTGCCATAAGACCCTGATGGGGTCCAAAATGGCATCGTTCAAAGCAATGGTCTTGAAGCCACTGAGATGTCCACCAGGGCATGGGAGATTCGGAGATCTCCTCCACCTGGATAACCAAGTTCTGGGCTACCCTCTTGAGGCGCTCCTGGTGCGCCCTATAGTCGTCCTGGGAAGGCGCTATACTTGTCCCGCCACCTCCTCATCAGGAGAGGTGGAAGAGGACACCTGTACTGGTAAGGGGCCCTCTGTACCAGCTAGGTCCCGTGAGGCTGGGTCTTGCAATTCGGTACCAGGCTCGGCACCGAGGCCTGGTCCCTGCTCCAAGGGAGGTGGTGCGGGATCTCTTGACTCCAATGCAATATAGAGTAGGACCTCCTGGACTGTGGACCCTGGACTGGCTGAAAAGGGTCAGGGATTCCAGAATGGATACTGTAGTGACATCTGCCATTGGGTCGGTGGCCAGGCTGTTGGCAGAATACCCAGGCTCATCTCAGCTGTTGGGCGTCACCTACTGGAGTTGCTTCTTGGTGACAAGAACGGAGCAGTGCTGGCTGGTGCTGGAAAACAGTGCCGGGAGGGAAGAAACCAGTGCGGCGACATCATGGCCAGCTTGACCTCTGATGGCACTTAAGGTCTCGGTACCATGGCCATCCTCGCCTCTGGTACTGCCACTATCTGCTCTTGAATGGCAGGGGATGGCGATACCGGGAGTGACAGTAACTCCTTTGCTGCCTCAAATGTCTCCAGCGTGGATAGTAGTGCCAGGGCCGCACTCCAGTGGCTCTCTTTTGGCGGAGAGTCCAAAGGTGCTGGACTCAATTGTGCCCTTACTGGGGCCAGAGTCAACAGTACCATACACATCACTGGCATCTCTGAGTGTTCGGCATGGGTCTCACACAGTCAGCATCTCGATGCCCCGCAGACTTTGGGGTTGGGGAATGTCTCAGTCAATCTTTCTTGGTACCGGCAACGGAGAGCAAAGCCAAGAGTCCCATGCTGGAATTGTCTTCCTTAGCACCGGAGATCAGCGTTGGTGCCGGGAGTCCTGAGCCATACACGCAGAGTCCTTCCTAGGCGCTGGAGAAGTGGAACGATGCTCTATCTCCCTTAGAAATGCTAGGGTGCTTCTTACTGAAGCCAAAGTACCCGGTGTTGGGTCAACGTGACTCTGCTCGGAGGGGGGACGAAGCACTGCCTCCATCAGGAGGAACTTGAGTCTAGTGTCTCTATCCTTCTTAGTTCTGGGCCTAAAGCCCTTGCAAATCCTGCAACACTCCTGCATGTGCGTCTCCCCCCAGACGCTTGAGGAAGATGGAATGTCGGTTGCTAACCAGCATCGGCTTATGGCATGATGCACACGGCTTGAACCCCGGGGTCCGAGGCCTACCCTGATGCCAAGGAAGGGCTAACCCCACTAAGCGGTGTCTGCTACTAACGAACAAACTCAAACTCTAGAAAAAGAAGTATTTACAGATAATCAGCAAAGTCTACTGAGAGAGATACTAAAAAAAACACAAGGATGAGCAGCAGTTCCAGCGACTGTCATGGGTGGTAAAAAGGAACTGAGGGGTCGGCAGGGCCCTATATAACAGTACTATGAGGGTGCAACTCCAAGGGGCACCAGAGCTGACCCAACAGATACCACTGAGAGAAAAACTTTCCAGAGGCGGTGCTCGGGGCAAGCACACACCTACACTGGAATGGACATGCGCAAGCACTCGAAGAACTTAAGGTCACAGGTAATGCTTCCTAAAGAAAAAAACTGCATATACTTAAGTGATATTCTGATTGTTTAAGAAAAGTTGTAAGATTCTTAAGCATTTTTATTGCCTAGTACAACTGAAGAATTACTTAGTATTTATGTGTACTGCAGTAGTGCCTAGGGACTCAAACTGGAGATCAAGTACTATATACAAGTTCAGGCTAAGTTCTCCAGGTACTGTACAGTTCACCTGGTGCTAAGAGCCCCTTAATAAAAATGTTAAGTCAGGTGTAGAACCACATTAATGCACTATCTTTCAAAAGGCAGAGAAACTGTTTGCACATGGTGGTGATTTTCTAAAGTCTTTTTTAATAACAACACAGATTTGTTCCATAGTCAAAATATTTCAGCCTGAGGAAAACTGGAATTGTGGTTTGTCTATGGAATAATAGGTTGTAGTAACAAGTAAAGACGTTATAAAAAAACAAGACCTGGAGAAACAAGCATACATGTTAATTTGTTGCTGAAAGATATACAAATGTATAAATCTGCATTATTTAACAGCTAGTTTTCAATGCTTCTATTGTCCATATATAAATAGGCAATATTAAAGTAAACCGATCATTCAGAAACTACCTAACTAGAGCAACAAAATTATTTAACATGGCTAATATTACCCTTAATTCATATAATTATATTTAGTTACTGTAGTATAGGATGTGACCAAGCAAGCACGGTTCTCAGACTTTTTCAATACCTTTGAATGCACTAAGTCAAGGGGACAGTAACAAATTTAGAATTTGTTTTTGCTGTAGTGTTAGAAAAAAATATATAAGCTTCTCCTCCCCTTCCAGAATAAAACTAGTTCATTACTGTACTTTCTCCATTGGCTTAATATATATATCTTGGTTTCAGTCCGTGCTATGGCAGTGGAAGGTGTGTAATGTATAGACCTCAATATTCCCTAATGTGCAAACCGAAGTAAAAAGTTACAGCTGAAAACAATTCTTCACTGAGAAGAGATCAGGTTTAAAGACTTCTGCAAATGCAGTACAAATCTGAGTTTGCAGAAACTGATAATACTTCCATAATTCCAAAAGTGGGCTATGATATGGAATCAGAAGGGTAAGAATTATACTGTAGTTAAAGAAGGTTACTCACTTTGGAGTGCCTTTTCCCTTTCTTGACAACATTCCTGCAGCACAGAATGGTTTGTCTGTGCTGAGGGAGACAAAAGTCAACGGAAAGCCTGTTTCACAATGTGTGTATTTGCATGATAACAGATAGTAAAGACAACAGGATTTGGCCCTAAGCAAAAAAAAAAAAAAATTCACTAGGGGGGGGGGGGGGGGGACGACACCTCTCCCCC